GAAATTCAATTTAAAAGTTCTGCTGTGGTTTGGTTGTGTCCTGGGCGGGTTTCCGGCCGGGTTGTGGGGGGCAGACATGTCTAACGGCGGCTGCCGCTGGTGTTTGCAGCGCCCGAGGACGAGCCCGGCTGCAGGAGCAACGACGACTGCCCGCTCAGCGACACGTGCCTCAACCGGCGCTGCGTCAACCCGTGCGTGGCGTCCAGCCCGTGCGCGACCAACGCCGACTGCGTACCCGTCAACCATCGCGCCCAGTGCAGGTGCCCGGCGCCGCTCGTCGGTGACCCGCTGGTCAACTGCTACGCCCGTGAGTACCTCCTCCTCCTCCGGGTGCGCCCGGAGCGTAGGCAGCCCAACGTACACCCGTGCATCGCTGCTGTCGGACCCACGCCTTTTAAACGTCGCGCCGCCTCCTTCTTCCAGTTTCAGCCGCTGCTCCGGAGTGCGAGTCGGACTCGGCCTGCCCGTCGGACCGCGCGTGCATCAACCAGCGCTGCCAGGAGCCGTGCGCCGTCACCAACCCGTGCGGCGTGGCGGCCGACTGCAGGACGTTCGACCACCGACCCATCTGCAGCTGTCCCGACGGCTGGGGAGGCAACCCGCAAATCCAGTGCTACAGACGTGAGTGTTTTGATTCATGATCGAAATCACAATAATTGTTAAACACTAATGACACTAGAAAAAAAATTGCAACTTATTAATCAATTTCAATGCTCTGTTATTGTAGCCCAATGCAAAGCTGACACAGACTGCGTGTACGACAAGGCTTGTATCGAAGGCAACTGCCTGAATCCGTGCGTGCACGGCGCGGTGCAGTGCGGCCGCGGCGCCGAGTGCCTGGTGCAGGCGCACCGCGCTCAGTGCGTGTGCCCGGCCGGCACCCAGGGCGACCCGTTCCTGTCGTGCGTGGCCGGCGTCTGCCAGTACAACGAGGACTGCGCCGACCACGAGGCGTGCGACCGCCTGAACCGCGTCTGCCGACCCGTCTGCGACGACGAGACGTGTGCTGTGACTGCCACCTGCGCGGGCCGGCGCCACCAAGCCGTGTGCAGCTGCCCGCCAGGAACCAACGGAAACCCCTACATCGAGTGTCTAGGTGGGTGCACGGTGGTCCGCGGCGACGGCCTAGCTGGCAACAAGTTGTCGTTGCCTTCACTAACTCTCGTAGAGAAAATTTCTGGAAATTTTCCCGAAAATAGGGTTGTGAAATTACCGGTAACAATCAATGTTACCGTAAATTACGGTAAAATTGGTAATTTACCGGAAATTATGGAAAAAATTGAAAAATTCCATTTCTAGT